AACTACCATACATTTTTTAGATCATTAGTTACACTGGATGTGTAAAATATATAATCAAAAACGTGAAAATATTCTAATTGTTTAAATTGTATTCACATTTGTTTTAGGTATACATGTAGGATACTTAAAGAAAGCAATTCAAAAAAATATTTATCTATGGAATTGCACGTACCACATATAGAACCTTTAAGACCATATATAGATTTACTTAAGCAAAACCTAAAAATGTATTATCACTAAAGCTGGTTTATTTAAAGTTGTGAAACTGAAAGTTGATTACACTAAATGTCAATTTATGTCCACTATGGTTTCTTCATATGTTCCTGTAAACAAACTTAAAAAAAAAAAAAAAAAAAACTTACCACCACACATAGGTTTTTTGTTTTGGTTCACAAAGCAGGGGTAAACAGACAGCCTTTTGGGCCCCTGGGCGAAATTAGATCCTGGGGCATTTGAAGACCCAATATAGATAAAAATTTTTTTAGTAAATGTTGAATGTAACATGCAAATAAAACACTCTCAGGATTACTCTAGAAGTGAGAATTGGGAAAGTGAATTTCAAAATATAAGCGTACTTGAAAAATTCTCATGTTATTTTCTTTGTTCATTTTAATTATTTTGGCAGTAAATCTGATATTCATCTAGAATTTCTGCCAATGCGTACTTTAAAGCATAACCCTGTGTGTATTCCTTAGGTTCTGTATAGTATGAAGATTTGTGTTCGAGTGCACATTTGCATCACAGTATGAAAAAAATCTGAGTGAATACACTCTTGCATTGTATGGATGCATGTACTTTTTTTGCATATAGCTCCAATATTAATTCCTATGTTCAAAGCATTAGTGTGTGAATGCGAATTTGAAGTTAAGTACAGAAACATTATTGCTTTAACATACATTTCTTTAAGTAAATCTATATATGGTCTTAAAGGTTCTATATGTGGTACGTGCAATTCCATAGATAAATTTCTTTAAATACACTCTCAACATGCATACCATCATTCTATGCGTCAAAGTAGACGTGTATGTAATGTTGATGTGTGTAATTCCTATAGTATAATTAGTGTAGTGCCAGAGAGCATAAAATGCAGATGTTTACTTGCATGCGGTATAAAAGTGAAAATGCATTGTTGTACGAGTGAGTAAAGCAAATGTTTGTGAAAGCAGGAGTGTATTTGTGAACATAAGTGTGTATGTTGGATGTGAATGCAGGGATTATTTTTATGGAGGGTGTGTGTGTGAACACAGGGGAATGTTGGTGTATGGTGTAATTTTTTTTTTTTTGTGCTATTTAAATGTCACTTTACATACCTATATTTCATTACAGAAGGGGTTCCCAACCCAGACCTCAAGTACAGCCTACCAGTCCAGGATTTAGGGATTAACCTGTGTCTAAAGTGTTTTTTTTTCTTTTTCTAAAACACCTTAAACATAACTGGGTAATCCCTAAATCGTGGACTGTTATTGGTGACTTGCAGGTTGGAAACCACTGATTTACAGCCCCCTCAGCAGAGATGCAAAATAAAAATCAGTCCATGTCTAAACATTGCATGTATGAATCAAAATAGTGGTAGAAGTAATCATTCATTCACAATAACCTGACACAGAAACATTCATGCTTTCTTATTTATTTATTTAGTGGCAGTGCAATAGTAAACACCAGTTCAAATCGTAAAGAGTGCTAAAGTGATTTCACATACAAACACTTAAATACAGTAACAAAAAAAAAAATCAAAAAAAAAAAATCACACATAGACAAGGTGACCGACATAAGCCTGTTGCATATTATAAACCCCACAACTAAGCTTAGATGAAATATATGTAGTTAATGTAGTTATCTAGTCAACTGCAGAATGGCTTCTGTGCAGGTACAAAGCAATACTCAAGCATACGGTCATACAAATGTTTTAAGATGGAATTCGTATTGCAGTCTATAAAAGGCCTGGGCATTAACTCCCTTTCTCCCTACACCATGTTGCTCAAATGAACCACCCCCTTATCTTTTATCCTACATTCTAAAATATTTACTTTACAAAATCCCAGAACTTGGTCACTTTGGGTACATGACCTAATAAGTATATAATGATCAAGTTACACTTTTTGTTTAAACCAGAAATTACTTTGTTAGTCAGACATTTGGGATACTGTGACCAGTTATCTGTTTTTATGGCATTTGTGCAGAGTCTTCTAAAATCCAGTAAACAGGTATATACAAAGAAGCACTTTAGTCTTGCTTTGCAGAAGAACTACAAAAATTAGTGCCAGTACAAGAAAAGTTAAACCCATTTGTGGTTCTGCTTGTTATTGAGTTGTACTGGCCTGTAACGGCCATTAGATATAGAAGACAGTATCATAACTGAAGTGAAGGGAGAATTGCCAATTCTAAATGATGCCTTAAGCATGGTATACTATATTGTACAGATACTGTGACAAAAAAAGCAAGCTGGGTATGTTATAGGTGGAAAATTGAGCTTAGCATGAGACATGGTTTTGATTAGGCTTTCAGCAGCAGAAATCTGTATTTCGTCTGCGGATATACAAATTTACAAAAAGAACAGGATTTAAAGCAACAGTTACAGCAATGAAACATCTGTGATCCAATGGTATAATTGGAAAAGTAGTTACAGAGAAATATTAACATGAGGTGGCTTTTGTGAGCTATTGAATGCCTATGTGGGAACAGAGGTTTTCATTTCAGAGCAAGAGCTCCTCTCAAGGAAAAACACAGAGGAAATTCCAGAGGTATTCTATTGGCAGATAGATTTGAGAAAAATTATCATGCTTTACAAGCATAGCATTTAACTATGTTGTGCCTTCCAACCCCAAAAATATGCCCACAAAAAAAAAAAATTAAAAATAAAAAAGGTCAAACATTAAGAACCAAATATAGGTTCTTGGACAGTATATTATAATAATAAAAAAACATCCTTGCACCTAATCACCAATTCAGTGCCATGTCACGTCTGTGTAAATAAAGAACGGCTTCAGATTAGTCACACCAGAGACGAAGTTTGTGAAAAACTCCTTGTTTCCTAAAACAAAAAGAAAGTGAATAAAAAATTTAAAGCCTCATATTTGCAGTTATTTCCATTCTTAAAGGAACAAGTGAATCAACATAACCCTTAAAGCATGCTGTAGTGATTATGGTGCCAATTGTACCCAGTTGTTCGATTTCATACCTGGTACCTGTCACTGCTTCTTTGACAGCAGAGAGCTCTCTTCTCCAAGATATGCCCAGTAGTGCAAGGCTTAGCTCACAAGCCGAGAGCAATCAATTGACTAAGACAATGAAATGACCCAATATTGCAGGGCCCATCTTTGAGAAGATAACAGAAGCTCATAGCAGGAGTTACTGACTCTCCTTTCTGGGTTGCAGAGATGCAGGATAGTGGCCCCTGTGAACCACAGGTAAGTAATTACTGGGGTATGTCCAGTCTTTTTTAGAAACCACTGAAAAATGGAACATGCTATATTTGACCCTGTAACTTCCCATAAAAAACAAAACCTGTACATAGGGGGTACTTTTTTACATGCACGTCATTGCTGAATACAAATGTGTATTTATTTGCAGAAAAAGCAAACAGTATTATGACATTCACAGTTAAAATGTCAAAAAAAAAAAGACTTATTTTCTCCCATTATTTTATATTTTATTCATTTAAATTCTGTTTCATAACTAAATATTTGATGTTAAATGAAAGCCCTGTTTCCCCTGAAAAAAATGATATATAATAAGTGTGGGTACACTTAAAGGGACACTATAGTCACCAGAACAACTACAGTTTATTGAATTTGTTCTGGTGTGTAGAATCATTAGCTTCAGGCTTCTTTTCAGAGAAAATGCAGTGTTTACATTACAGCCAAGTGTTAACTTCACTGGCCACTCCTCAGATAGCGGTTAGAGATCTTTCCTGGGTCATGGCTGCCTAAAATGCATCTAAACACTGTTTCACCACCCTCTGCATGCAGACAACGAACTTTCCTCAGAGATTCATTGATTCAATTCATCTCTATGAGGAGATGCTGATTGGCCAGGGCTGTGTTTGAATTGTGCTGGCTCTGCCCCTGATATGCCTCTTTGTCAGTCTCAGCCAATCCTATTGGGAAAGCATTTTGATTGGATCAGACTACCACTTCTGATGTCAGCAGGCAGGTCTAAAGGAAACAGGGACAAAGCCAGCAGCTCCAGACTTGAATACAAGATTTTACAATATTTAGGGAGGCATGAGGGGGCCAGTGGGGCTAGATGGTGGTTTTAACCCTATAGGGTCAGGAATACACGTTTGTGTTCCTGACCCTATAGTGCTCAACCCCTTAAGGACCAAACTTCTGGAATAAAAGGGAATCATGACATGTCACATGTCATGTGTCCTTAAGGGGTTAATATGAAAGAGATGAATTATGGTTGAACAGAGTCAAATTCCAGGTTTTGTTTTGATCACAAAACGTGTACATTTGGCTCAGTCCTGAAGGGATTAATATGTGCCAACAACCTACATTTACAAATTTCACAAATAAAACATTACATATGTATCATCTACAGAAAAACAAAATTAGTATTGCCACAATTTGGTTTTAATCCATATATATTAAATACAACTCAAGTGCATTTGATTTTTGGCTTTATATTGATCTGTGTTTTTCTCCACATCTTTAGTAAAAAGAAAATTAGTATTGCAGCTATGCTTCCCCATTTCACAAAATCTCTTTTTGATTTGAAGATAAACCGTGTAGTTCAGCCAATAAGAGATCAGTGCAAGCTGAGCCAACAATGATCTATTTATCTGTATAGTATTCCAAACGCCATTCTATGGGTAAAGGGGGATGATAAGAGGACAGCAACTGACTGTGGAGCCAAAACCCATTAAAAGCACTTAAGTTGTGTTGATGCCCCTAATGTGCCTGGAAAATTTTAACTTTACATTTATTGGAACAAAAGCTAGTAAAAACAAAAAAGAAGAAAAAAAGGCAGACATACTGTACATATGTCAGGTCATCCACTCAAATAGCCTGGGGCACAAAGTGGGTTGGAGGAGTGGGTGCTGCGATGTAGCTCACTTGGTGTAGGTGGCCAGCATTGACTGCATTGTGAATCCGTGGGGAACTGTTGTAGGGCTGGCTCATAGGTTGCCAAGATCCTAAATAGTGATACGTAGGCACAACAGGTACACAGGAGTCAAAACCAGTTAATGGTGGCTGGCTGTATGGATCAGTCACATAAGGGTAATACACTGTTCCATGTGGGGGAGACAATGATTCTTGGGGAAATGCACCTGGAGAAAAGGAAAGGGGAGACAAAAAAAATAAAAAAAATTGGATATAGAACAAGAACCAGATAAATTTCAAACCACATTTTGCCCTGAGTCTTTTCGCCCCAATTGAAAGACAAACTTTTGAACATTTGCCCAAACCTGCGGGTTGTCATAAATGTTGACATGGCAAAATGTGCAGACATCTGCCAAGAACCACTAAAGAATTTATAAGTACCAAAAAAAAAAAAAAAAGGATTTTAAGATAAAAGCTTTTTATTAATTGTTTAACCCCTTAAGGACATATGGCATGTGTGACATGTCATGATTCCCTTTTATGCCAGTTTGGTCCTCAAGGGGTTAATAAGAAATGTCATTTATTTATTACAATGCCCATGTGGGGCGGACTATTAGGACATTGAGGGAATGGATTTTAGAACATTTAAGAGCTATAACTAAAAAGGCACGAAACAGTGTCCCGAGATACTAACAACTGTGCGCTCTTTGATCCTAATAGTTTAAATTTATTTATAGGTATATACTAGGTGGAAGGTGATTTAGTGAAAAAAGTACGCTAAAGAGAAACAATGTGGATATATAAATTAAAAACATTTGGGAGTACTGGTTTAAATGTGGATTTGGACATTATGGCTTTTATGTGATTTTAATAACATCTTTTCCCCTTTTTTTAACCTTTTTCTTTTATGAGATAATTTGTGAAATATTTTTTAATATTTTGTATATTTTTTGCATCCATTATTTTGGTTTCATGCATTTTAACAATTAAAGGGACTCTCCAGGTAGCAGTTTTTACTCACCTGGTTCCTGCGCCCAATATTTCGTCAAAATGACGAAATAGGCGGGCGCGAGCAGGGAGCAATCAGACGTGTCATTGCTCCCTTGTGCGCATGTGCGGCTTCGCCGCACATACTTCAGAGGGTGGCATTCATACCGCCCTCTGAAGTCCTGAGCGCACTACCACACATGCGCGCGGCCGCGAGCTGAGCTGACTGACAGCTCATGGTCTTTGCCCGCCCCCTCTCCTCTGCTGACAGGCAGAAGAGAGAAGGCGCGCACACAGTGCCTTCTCTCTCCTGCACACGTCAAACGTATTTTAATACGTCTGACGTGTACAGGGCCTTTTTAGGGCCCTGCATGATTGGAAGTCCCTCTGGTGGCCGTCTGAGTGACAGCCACTGGAGGTATTCCTATCAATGTAAACACTGTATTTTCTCTGAAAATACAGTGTTTACATTAGATTGCCTGCAGGGAGCTATAGATCTCACCTGAACAACCACATTAAGCTGTAGTTGTTCAGGTGACTATAGTGTCCCTTTAAGTACATGGATATTGTACATGGATGAATTTGTTGCCACATTGTGAACTAGTAACTACATTTTATATGGGTTTATAATGGACTGAAAGACTTACCAGTTATAATGTATATATTTTAAATGAATGTGGCAGTGAGTTCATCCATAGGTATGTAATTTGTTCACCCATTCTACAGATTTACATCTAATATTTTCCCACCGACGTGTGGGATGTCAAGCAGGACCGGGTCTTTTTTATAGACCAAGTGCATGCACACGCGCCACTTTAATGTTGCGGTTATGAATTTGGGCGGTACCGCATGTGATCTCAGGTTTTACAAATGGCTGCGTGGGGGTTGGAGGAAGAGTCAGACACTCTCTGGGAGAGGAACTACAGATAGGACACTAGGAGTATTCTCTCAGTATGCACACTAAGCGGCAACCTTTTCGGTCACCAAACATTATCCCAGCGGCCATTTTTTGGGTGGGTCAATCAACTCCCCAGCCGAATCACATGATGTAAACAGGAAACCTGTAGTAAAGAACACTTAAAACTGGTTGGATATTTATACCGGAACATCTAGCAAGCTCTTCCTTGATAAATCCTACCAGGACAAAACTGGTCGGATTTTTGAGCAACCTAATATTACTCCTTATTTCAGTCTGAACTGTTCATACAAATCTAATCTACCTTACTGTTGAAGGATCTGCAGCCATCACAGGGAGGGACTGAAATTACTGGATTTTCTACTGAGAGTAGTGAGACACCATTGGAGGTCTAATTGACCTATTTTATGTGCCATTTTAGGCACTATTCGTGGCTTGATGTTTGTGAGTGCAATATTATCTTCATTTTATTACCCATTTTGTGTGATTTTAGGCTATGTTCAATATTGTATATTTCTAGTGATTGAAGTTTGAAAATCTTTATTAATTTGGATATATATGTATGTCTGTGGGTTTGAAGATCCTCAGGAGGGGGTGTATATGTTTAGTTCAGTCGTGTCCAACTCTGTGACCATATGGACCATAGCACACCAGGTACATCTGTCAGTCACTGCCCCTCTGAGCTTTAACAACTTCATGTTCGTGGCTTCAGTGACCTCATATATCCATCTCAGTCTGTCGTCACATCTTCTTTGTGTGCCTTCCATCTTTCCCAGCAGAGTCTTCTCTAGAGAATTCTGCCTTTTTATTATATGACCAAAATATTTGAGCTTCAGCCTCATGATCATAGCTTCCAGTGAACAGTTTGTCTTGATTTCCTGTAGTACGGATTTATTGGATCTTCTTGCAATCCAAGGGATTCTAAGCAGTTTTCACCAACACCACAGTTCAAAGGCATTAATTCTACGATGCTCAGCCTTTTTTATAGTCCAGGTCCCACATCTGTATGTTACTACTGGGAATACCATAGTTCTAACTATGTGTACCTTTCTTGATAGTGTAATCTCTCTAGTTTTTACCAGCGTGTCCAAGCTTGCCATAGCTTTCCTCCCAAGAAGCAAACGTCTTAATTTCATGACTACAGTCACCATTTGAAGAGATCTTGGATCCCAGGAAAATAAAATCTGTCACTGCCTCCACTTCTTCCCCAACTATTTGCCAGTGTCCCGGCTCCCGGCTCCTCTGTCAGCGTGGCTGCACAAAAAGTAAGCAACCACAACGATAGAGATATTTCTAACTTACCTTGGTTCCGGCAGGTAGCTGCCCGGTCTCCCTCCATTCCGGTCCCCAGCAGTGCGACGTTCTTAGGAATGCTGGGCCGCTGCAGTTCAGCTTTTTCTAGGAAACTTACCTTCGCCCACAAAGATGGCGCCAACGTGCGTGCGACGTCACATCATAGACGCGCACACACATTGTGGGGGTCAGAGACCACCAATTACAGCCTAAGGAGGGTTTTTTAAACCCAAATTACCTTTTTTGTCAGTGTCCGGTCATGGTTTCCACTAGCTAGTTATCCGAGAGTGTGTTCCTGATTGAGTTTTTCTGGTATTTGACTTTGGCTTCGTTTTGACTTCCCTGATCTCTGGTATCCTTGACTTCTGGCTTTCCTCCTCATTGTATCTCATTCTGTGTCCCTGACCTCAAAGTATTTTGACTATTCTCTGGTACGTCAAGTCCGGCCAATCTAAGATCCAGTTAGACGTTATCCTTAGTCCTAGATGTGATACTATTCTGCGTGCTGGATCAACTATAATCCTGACAGCCAGGAACTAAGATTGCGGTTTGCCATGATCCTAGTCTTTTTAATGTTAAGCAGCAACAGGATTTTGCACACTCTTCTTTTACCCTCATCAACAGGTCCTCTCATTTTTAGCCAGAGTGGTATCATCCGCGTATGTGAGGTTGAGATTTCAACAATATTGATTCCAGCATTGGATTCATCCAGCCCAGCCTTACGCATTATGTATTCTGCATACAAGTTGAATAAATAAGGTTGCACTCCTTTCCCAATCTTGAACCATTCTGTTGTCCCATGTTCGGTTCTGACTTCTTGGTCCACATACAGATGCCTCAGAAGGCAGATGAGCTGATCTGGTAATCCCATCACTTGCCACATGTGATCCACACAGTCAAAGGCTTTCGAATAGTCTATGAAGCAGAAGGAGGTGATTTTCTGGAATGCTCTGGCTATCTTTATTATCCATCATACATTGGCAATTTGATCTCTTGTGCACCGTCCTCTGCGAAACCCAGCTTGTACATCTGTTTATTCCAGGTCCATATATTGTTTGAGTCGAGCTTGTAGGATCTTAAGAATTACCTTATTTACCTAAATAGTGCAATTGTTCGATAAGTGGACCACTCTTTGGCATTTCCTTTTTTGGGGATTGGGATGTAGACTGTGCTTTTCCAGTCTTTTGGCCACTGGTGAGTTTTCCGAATTTGCTGGCATAAGGCAAGAAGAATTTGCACAGCATCATCTTGCAGCATTTTGAATGGTTCAATTGGGATTTCATCAACTCCTGCAGCCTTATCTGCAAGGCATCCTAGGGCCCATCTCACTTCGCTCTCCAAGAGTTCTGGTTCCATCTCATTGGACCAACTAATGAGATCATCACTGTTAAGATTCTTCCTGTATAGATCTTCAGTGTATTCCTGCCATCTCTTTATCTGATCTTCTGTTAAGTCCCTGCCATTTTTGTCTTTTATCACGCCCACTTTGGCATGAAAGGTCACTTTTAGATCACCTATTTTCTTTAATAGATGTCTTGACTTTCCCATTCTGTTTTCTTCTATCTCTAGACATTTATTACATTATGTAGATCTATTAATTTCTGAGGTTTTTCAACTTCTATTAGTTTTGGTACACCACACAATTTCTTTGTTTGCTTTATATAGGATATAGCCTTTCAGCAATCACTTACCACAGTTGGATATGGACATTTTATTGGAAACATTCTTACTTGGAGATATATATATATATATATATATATATATATATATCCCAGAAAATAAAGTTTACCAAGTCATACTACATGATCCATGTAATGTTAAAATTATATTTACTGGGGGGCGGAGCCTTGCTACCAGACTGAACGGACATGCTGGCGACACCCGACTTGCCCTCATACCCAACCGGAGATCGAGCAGGGGAGAGGCAGCAGCTCTCCTCACTTGAAAACTGTCACGAAAGCCCCACAGCTCTCCAGACTTCTACCCCACCCCTCTTTGGACCAGCAGGGGATATCCCGGTCCTCGCTGAGAATCCGGAATGCATCACCCGGATCAAAACCCAAGCATTGCACAAGGCATCAGTGGCGCTTTCTCCACGAGGCACGCACAAGATGGTGGCTGCACACTTTCTACACAAGCTGAGCCAGCTCCCAAATCAAATGCACCATCACGGTACATTCATGGATATCATGCAGCACCTAGAAGACTTGTTCATTTGCTTCTGGGAAAGAATACAGAGACGTGAGCAAGTAGCCCAGATCACACAGCACAGCTACATGGCGGCGGACAAGCAGGGTCGCAGGCACGAGGGAGCAAAGGGGCCACCCTCAGGCACAGCACCCATACACCTGACGCTCAGTCTCCCAACCCCACCCAGGCTGAAGGCCAAGAGGGCTCTGACCCAACAGCATCGCCAACATCTGCGGCCCATAACGGACTGTAGCGCTTGGGGTTTAGAGTCTTTTTCCCTGGAGCACCAGATCACAATGAATAGTAATCTTTAGAGCAATCAGTTGTATTCAGCATGTGTATAGCCCAACGTGTTTCTTCATACACTACTTAACCTAGCATGTCTCCTGGCTTAACACCTCAATATCTTTTGTGAAATCAAGCTTATGTTTACCCCATTGTTACATTGCAACTCACATCTAACTCACTATCTTTACCCAACAACACTAGTGTACTGAGCATTTTGATATGTCAATTTAGCCTATACGCTATAACATTACAAATTTTTGTTTTAAAATCATAGTTCTTACCTTAACATATCTTACAACTTAGCCTGCTTATTACAATGTAATATAAAATTGTGCTGTTTACCTGCATGCCATGGCAACTACTGTTCTTAATAAGCTTGCTATTGCTGTTGGGGCACTGCAAGACTATATGTTATGTATATTCATATGCACAGGAAAAAAAGAATTTTAAAAAATATATATTTTTATTTTTTTACTTTACTAAAAAGCATTTGTCAAATATTTCAAATCATAAATGCCTCTCCTTCATTACCTCCTGTTTCCATGGGCATCGATCTATTCTCACTGTACAGTGGAGATACAGACTGATCAATTATAGAAACAGATTCTGGAAACGATTGGTAAGGCTCGATGTGTGCCTGAGGTGGAACTTGCTGCACATAGACCATAGAATGCCAGAAGCTTTGGTGATAACACTAGAACAAAGATATACAGTTAAGTAACTGAATCAGAAGGCAAGATAGTTTTGTTAGATTGTTAAAACTTTACTATGGTTTCCACCCAAAAACTTTTTTTGCTTCAACTCTGTTAAATTTGGTTTCAGTATATAACCCCCTTAAGCATTCCCTCGTAGTTTACATCCAAATATAAATACATCCAACATTTAACAACATTATCCTCACCAATAAAGACAATTCTGATGCATGATCCTCACAGATGTACAAACCTTCTCTATTTCAAAACAAGACCCAAAAATAGGTAACATTTTATGTATATGGTGAGGCCCTTGGGAGTGGACGAGGGCACATGTAGGAGTGTGATGATGGATGCATGTGATTGGCTGTGTATGATGTGTGTGGGGGATTATGTGGTGTGAGATTGGTGGGGGTGTTCTTACCTCAGTGCCACCTGGGATTCGGGCCATCAAACAGCTTCCTGTCCTCCTGCTCCTGTAGGTTATTCTGCTTGAGGGTTGGATGTCTAGACTATTTTGGCATCCCTCAGAGCTGCTGCTGTGCTAGATGGTGGCTGGCAATGCCGTGAGCGATATGGCTCCTCTCCCCCCAGCCAGGCTCCTTCAAGGGCCTCCCCTGCTCCTGGGGGCCGCATTAGCACCGGCTGGCGTTTCTGCCCGCTAGTAATGCTGTCCCTGGATGCTGCACCTCATGTCCGGTTGAGAAGTAGGAGCCCGGCCCTGAGGCATCGCCAGGGGCTCCAGACACGCAGCCTGCCATTGTTATGCAGGATGCACGGCCTACTAATGCCGCACAGGACTCGTGGCCTACACCCCCTGGCTTCTACCTCACAGTCTGCCCCGGCCTCCGGCGTGGGAACACGGGCCAGTGGTGGCTGCCCAGCGCCCTTCCAGATCCCTCCGCAGCAGGCAGGACAGCAAGGCTGTTACCAGGGCCCCGGTGGTGAGTAGGCCTGCAGGGCCACACAGGGTACCGCAGTACTACCATTAGAGGCTGGGGGAAGGGCCCCATATGGTTCAGGAGCCTCCTCTGCCAAGCTCCCATGGGTCTCTTTCCCCAGTCGCCCCTTCTTTCTCCCCCACCCCACTCCATTCCATTCCCTGGTCTTCCCCTGGGGTCCCCCCTTGTGTCTTCTGGGGGTCCCCACGGTTTCCCTTCTTCCTCTTCTGGTCCCTCTGCTTCCTTTTCCTCCTCTGCTCCTTCTGGGTCCCCTCTGCCCTCTAGCCTTCCCCTTGTTCCCTCCCGGTCCCTCAGCTGCCTCCTGGTGTGGAGCGTGGGCTCACATCCTCTCTATTGCTCTTCTCACAGGACCTGGCTGCTGTTAATGGAACTGCCCGGCAGGTGGCGCCTGGAACCCCTTTGGGAAACACAGTGGATACTGGAATTGTGGCAATCTGCCTTCACCTTCTCTTCTGTTTGCGTTGGGCCGCCAGGGCGCCAGGCATCAGCAGGTAAGTACGGTGTTCCCTCTTCTTTTAGTAAGTCGTGTCCTGTGTTGGAGGGGTTCCTCTCAGGTCTTCTGGGTTTTTTAGATCAGTGGGAGCAGGGTGTGTGACAGAGGGGAATCCTCAGGTTAGTTAACTCAGGTCATGTCAGTTTGGTCCCCTGCCCAGCAACCCCTGTATGTGCAGTCCTCTGGGCCCCCTAGCTCTATGTCAGTATTTGGTAGTGGTCCCTGCGCGGTAGCTAGTGCGGATGAATATTCCCAGGAGGCGGGCGTTTTGGACATGGTTCAGGGCGCTGCTTACATGCGCTGGTCTGGCCTGCTGGGCTTGCACTTGAAGCAAGAAATTAGGGAGAGTATTTGGAAAGGGGATTATTTTGTGGAAATATTTTCCCTCCCGCCATTGGAGGAAGCTCCTCCTTTGGTTGAGAAAGATGGTAAGGAATCCGAGAAAGACAGAGAAATACTGCTAAATCGGAAAATTCCCAAGACATTTGGGAATTGGATATAGGCTTTTTCTATCCTGGCTAGCATCATTGGGGAGAAGGCTCCCCATAAATGCTCTGCGTTCTGTTATCAGCACACTATCTAAAATGCGTGTCGTACCTATGAGGGGCTGAGCTGGTGGAGATACAACAAACAATTTCGTCAGCGGCTGGCAGTTCGACCTCTGTGTCCTGGGACCAGATGGACAAAGGCCTCTGGCTCTCAATTATGACTCGCCCGGCTCCTCAACAAGGTGCTTTTTTTGTCCTTTCTTGGGGGGGGGGCTGGTGGGGGGACATCCTCCTAATCGGCCCCCAACCAGAGGCCAGGATGTTGGAAATTCAACGTCAGTCACTGTAAGTGGGGGTCCTCATGCCATTTTAATCACACTCTGCAGGAAGTGGTGGAACAGGCCTTAAGAGGTTTTGGTGGGGTCCCTCGCTGATTTTTGGCATAAAACAGCGGGTTGTGGCTGGGGGTATGTCCTTGCCAATTAAGTTTGAGGCGGCTATGTCAATATGTGGAATGAGGTGGTCAAGTTTCAGGTCTCAACCTCCCCTGCTCTAAAAGGTTAAAGGAACACTATGGTGCCAGGAAACAAAATTCTTTTTCTGGAGCTACATAGTCCTTAATTCCCCCACCCTCAGGACCCCCCTTCGGCTGGGCTGAAGGGGTTAAAACCCCTTCAGCCACTTAACTTAATCCAGCACCGGGCTCCCTCGGCGCTGGTGAACTCTCCTCCCCCTCCGTCATCAGCTCCCAAGTAGACTCAATGCTTTCCTATGGACGTCCTGCATGCTCAATGCGATTTTTTAATTGAGCTTCGCAGAAGCACCTCTAATGGCTGTCAGGAAGACAGCCACTATAGGCTGGATTAACCCTGAAATGTAAACAAAGCAGTTTCTCTGAAACTGCTTTGTTTACAACAGCAGGGTTAAAACCTGGGGGACCTGGCACCCAGACCACTTCATTGAGCTGAAGTGGTCTGGGTGACTATATTGCTCCTTTAAGCTTAGGTTACCTGTTTGGACGTGCCCACAGAGCGAGGAAAAGGTCGGCTGGTGGTAAGCGTTGGGATGAAAAAGGAATTTATGCCGAGGGGGGAGGTGAGAAGAAATGGTGCATAGGCTCATGATCAGTATATTGGCAAGGACGGTTGGGTTATACTGTATGGCACTATATGTTAACTCATTTGCTAAGTTATGGTAATTTATGTTTGACATTTAGGTAAAGATAAAAATAAATTATGGATGTGTTATCCAGTATTTATCATGTTATAATAAATGCTGTTGACTGTTTCACCCATACTACGTTGTCTGTCATTATTTGGGGGTTAAGTGGGATAGTTCTCTATTATGCTGCATCACGATTCCCCACTACGTACATACATGTATTTTTCCTGAAATATGTACTCTACAGTGGCATACTATATAGATTTGTTTTTTCCCACCAATTAAGGACATCCTGATATGACACACATTTAAAATGACAAATGAGAATACACTATGTAGTTTTTGTTCACAGAGTTTTCTTTATCACCATCTATGACTATTTGAGAAATCCAACCCATAAGCTATATGTCCATGTAAACCCTATCTGAACCTCAAAAACATAGCGGTTAGTGAATATATTTTTTTACTAACATGTTGGACATATACAAAAAAAAAAAAGTTAATGTGCCACTTTCCCTTCTTTCCAATTTTTTTCTTCACAATTTCTAGAAGAGAGGAAGCTTTTACCTGTAATCCAAGATTAAAGTAGTACTGTAAAACCTTTGTGTCTAGAGGGGAAAAAAAAAATAAAGAATTTTTTTATTATTCTAGGGACACTTGAGAACCACCACAGCTTTATGACATGGACACAATTTCTTAAGTGGTTGGCTACACTAAACTGAAAATATTACAGGTTAGTTTCTGACAAGTATGTGTACAGGCAAGCACACACTAAAAGCTGTTTGTTAGTTCAGTATACACACTTGAAAGGGTACCTGTCATGACAATAAAACTTAATCCTAAATGATAAAGACTCAAAATTGCATCTATACATTGGGCTAGCAGAATTTCTCTAAAATCATAGTTTAAATACAGCCCTTACCCCTCCTCTCATTCAGTTTTGTCTGTGCCAGTAGGTACTGATATATTTAGGCAGTGCACTGCATGTCTGTTACCAGGGAAACCATCCCCTGGACATGCCTTCCTCTTGAATTCAGCCTAGGGAAAATAAATGGCTGCAAGGGGAAGCAGTGGGATGGGCAAACTGTGTCAGAGCAGCATCAGCAGCAATCACGTAAAGATGAGAGAAACAGAATGATTTACTGGGAGAAGGAGAAGGTTTTTATCCTACATAAAGTCAACATAAAAGTGTTTTGGAAGCGCAGACTTGCTTCTCATTACAGTCTAAAAGTCCCAAACAGGGCTTCGTAGGCCAGGTGTCTTTCTCCTAAATAAAAATAGAAAAGGCCTGCACAATGACAGTGCCACCTTAAAGGACTTAAAGCGGCATGTTCATGCCGAACGTACCTCTCTTTAAAGGGACACTATAGTGTCAGGAAAACCGCTTGGTTTTCCTGACACTATAGTACCCTGAAGGTGCCACCACCCTCAGGGTCCCCCTCCCGCGGCACTGAAGGGGTAAAAACCCCTTCAGCTACTCACCCTTTTCCCCCGCCGGGCTCCCTTACCCCTCTTGCCCCACCGACGTCAGCATCCTTGTCTGACGTCACCGGCGCCGAATGCGCATGCGTGGCACTGCCACGCGCGCATTCAAAGTGTCCATAGGAAAGCATTTTTCAATGCTTTCCTATGGACGCTCTGCGTGATTGAGGCATAACATGCCTCAATCATTGCCGATGCGCCAACCAGAGTGCTCTGACAGGTAAATGAAAAGACAGACAGATACGTCTCTATATTTACCTGAAATCCAACCAGAGTGCACTGTCATTTTACACAGTGTGGGAAAATTCCAAATAGCTTTCCCACGCTGTGTAAAATGACTAGCACTCTAATTGGTTGGATTCCAACCTAATCATAGTGCTCTGAGTCAAATTGCAGGGCGTGGGAAAGCTTTATAAGCCTTTCCTGCCCTGCGGAGCTCAGTCTGCGCCGTGCCCTCGCCAGGTGAAGATGTTTTTTTTTTTTGCGTCCGGTTTTTTCTTTTTCGGCAGATTTTCTTTTGCACTCGGGTTTATTTTATTTAATTTATTAACAAGTTCGATGGATATTATGGTTTTTATTTGGCTTTTTTGGGGCTGAAAAATGAAGATTTTAGAAAAAAGCAAACATCAAATGGTGTTTTTTTTTTTTTTTCAGGTAATTTGTTCTGTTATTCCCCCCTCATTAATGTTAGGGTGAGGGGAGTAGGTAGCGGTTTATTAATTTTAGTTTTGGGTGGGTGGGGTGACTAGGGGCCCCCTAGTCACCTTGGGTGGGGACATTTTCATTTAGGGCCCCCACACGCCACTCAGGGATGGGGGCCAGAGGGGAGGACAATAGGTCCCCCCCCTTATTGTTAATTAAGGCCCCCACCCACCACTCAGAGGTGGGCGCCGGGTGGAGAGAACAATAGCACCCCCCAGTATTTAGGGCCCCAACCCGCCACTCAGGGGTGGGGGCTGGGGGGAGGACAATAGGTCTCCACCCCCAATTTTTATTTAGGGCTTCCACCCTCCGCTCATGGGTGGATGCTGGGGGCTCGCTAGTTAATAGATGCCCCACCATGGGGTCATTTTTTTTTTTTTAGAAGGGGAAGGGGGCGGGAGAACAAACGGACACTGATATTCAGTGTTTGTTCGTCTGATGTTTCTATTCATTCATTCGTTTTTCTGACAAATGAACGAATAGATAAAATTCCTGCTCGCATGCTCAAGTGTTTAACTGGGCATGTGTAGGAATTTCACAGCGCTATCTAGTGTGGGCAGATGATGTTTCCCACAGGGTCTTCATCTACCCACACAAAGATGGCGGCGCCCAGAACCAGGTCGAGGCAGAAAATAAAGTTTAAAAACTAGGTAATATTGGGTGCTTAGGCGTATTTGGTGGTTACTAGGAGGTCAATTAGATGTAGTGGAGTCGGTTTAAAAAAAAAACAAAAAAACGTGATTCAGCCATGACAGTGCCACTTTAACATACAATGCAACAGAGTTTGGAAGACCCTTCCAGGTACCAATCTCTTTTTATCCAAACTACATACAAAGTACACACATTGTACTTGGATATGGTGCAAAGCAATTGGTTAATTAAGCCATATAAATTGAAAGTCATAAAATATAACACCTTCACTCAGGAAAACCACGTCATTGAAAGAATGGATGCTTATCACATTTTCTTAAAATAGGGAGAGAGAGAGATTGCAGAATACGTAACACTTTCATTACATGAAATAACTAACCTCTAGGTAAATCACTCCCAGTTGGATCACAGGAATAAGGAGGTGGTGGAGGCGGCAGTGGAACAGTGCAGTCTCCCATCTCATTAGGGCCGGGAGGAGCTACATAACATTTGAACCTCATTAGTTTTGTATGTCAAAGAAATTATATACATACAAATACATACATATACAGTTTTAATCAACATTTTTCAACCCCCATTGAAAATGAGGTTTACTGTCAAATTTACAGACTGTACCTGTCTGCAATGAACATATCAAACAAACCAATTGAAATAGCTCAAGAAACTTAACACTTCAAGAGGTGTCCCCAAGTGTAACTGAAAATGCAACTTAGAACTTCTCCAGTCTCAAAATGATTCAACCCCTTCATGGCAACCATCTTTAGTACTTAATAGAGCACCCTTTTGCTGTTATGACCTGCTGCAAACAAGATGCATAGCCAGACACCAGTTTCTGGCAGCATTCCTTAGAATTCTTAGCCCATTGCTCATTGAGAAATGGTCTCCAGTTCATAAAAATTTTAATTCTAAACTAGTGACTCCAGAGGATCCCCAGTTTTCTGGCAGTTCCAGGAAAAAGTAATATCTGGCATTTGTCACATTTAATCTTGGTATAGGTTCACTCTGTAATAGAACAAGAACGCAAAAACTGAGTGGGAATTTACCAAAGGGCAAGCTATTGAGTTTCTCTCCATTCCCAGGGTTCTCATATTCTCTGTTTTTGTTGCAATACATTACCTTTGGCTCTCCCCAAATTTAAAAGGTGAAGCCAGATGTGCACACCATGCTTACTGTGCCAAGAGGGATGCCAGCTATACCTCACTGACTAGGCCCAAAGAATTCAGAAACTACCATCCTGGGTTGCTGTATCTCTCGTGCAAAAGGAATTAGCCAACATTTCGAATCTGGACTGCAGTTAAGTCTGGGATTAGTCTGATATATAAATGGAGACTCTGTGCACTAGTCCCTGGTAGGTTGCTGGTTAATGTGCCTCAGCTGCTGTAGAACCTTGTTTTTCTGTAGAACACATGCAGAGATTGGGAGCAGTAGTGTACCTTCTACAGGATCTCCCGAAACTAACATTGGGCTTGCTGTGTCTCGCAGGCAGAGGGGACTTTCCAGCATTTCGAATCTGGACTGCCTTTATGGGTGGAATCAGTCTGACCTCTAAATAATATAGGTGGTCTTTGTAATAGTATTAAAATGGATTAAACCAAAGGACAGGCTATTGGCTTTTGCCCTTCTACAACTACAACTTCTATATTGCTCTCTAGGAGCCCAAAAGGTGATCATACTTTACATCATAATAAGGAAAACTGTGTGTAGTGAAGTAGCTCAATGCATTATGAATTATAGATGTCAATGCAGAAAACAGAGCACAAATTGTGGCTGTCCAGGGTAAAAGGCCCAATCCACTGAGAAAAAAAAAACCTTCCATTTTCACAAGCAAGCTCTCATGTACTGAAAGCATTATATACATTTTGTGTAATTCTCTTTTAGTGTATAATTTATACAAAATTCATAAGTATTTACTGTATATGCCATTATTTTGGTAGATAAAATCTGTCTGGGAAACTTGAATTTTAGACTAGATGATTGCCATTTTGTCGCCCTTTCCTTGTCTTTACCCTTCCCCTCCCAACAGATAGTTTTAAACACTATATCCAAGTAAAGAAAATAACCTTAATAATCAATATATGCTATTTTAATTAAGCCCTACCTGGCCTTCCTGTAGCTGGTGGTGGAGAGACAATCATTGGTTGCACAGCAGTCTGCGGTAAGACAGATGAGGTAGTGGTGGATGGGATGACAACAGCTGAGTTTGAAGACATAACAGTAGCTGGGGCAGCATTCACACAAGAAGAGGTTGAAATCACTGAAGTAACCTGTATGTACCAAATTTCAGATGCACACAAATTAATTTGTTAACGTGCTGCTAAAGATGCTGTATTGTAGTATAACTGACCAGAGTTTACCATAAGACAAAAGGTTTGTCTGGAGTGTATTTTGTGTCACAATTTTTTAGTTAAATTCAGGTTTTAAGCAATTTTAGCTGAGAAGAGAGAGGCAGATAGATCACTGTTAGAGATTCTTAAAAGTGTATAAAAATAAAAAAATAAATCTTCAATGCTGATCACAGCATTCATACACCATATAATAAAATATATACATATATATATATATATATATATATATACACACACATACATATACACACACGAATACATATGTAAGAAATGGGGTGCCTTTAAAAATTATATTTTCTATTTTAATATATTGACATATGCTTTGTGAAGGTCAGTTGTGTAATAAGCTATCTGGTTTCACAATGGAATTCCATTTTAAAGGAGGTTGTCAAAGGGTACAAATCTTTACTATAAAGGTTTAAAAGGTCATGTTATCAGGTGATCAGAAGATCAGAGTGATTAACATCTAGGTGTAACCATGAAGTTTGTGTTTTCCCAAGCCATCCTGTCCAATCTTCCCAAAAACCAACCCTAACTGGTCTCTTTTTACAGAGTGTTGTAGTGTAACTGGAGGAATGAGATCAAAGGACTTATGTAAAGATAGAACTCTCTGTGAAAAGAGGGCGGGAACAACAGCCAAGGAGGTTGGGCTCCTCTCCTTGTCTCTTTTGGAGAGGACAGCGCAGCAAGCACAGGTGCCATGGTGAACTGATAGAGACTGTCCCAGATTACCCAAGGTGAAGACGCAAGGGGAAGATCTTCATTTAAATGTCTAGGTATTGGCCTTTTGTTATGTATCTTCTGATTATGTACTGGATATAATGTATAATGTGTATATCATCCTAAAATCTGTAACAGTAGCCTAAATCAATATTAACAATACATTGTATTATACACTTGTGTTTGTGCCTTATTTTTCACACATTCCCTAAAAGAATATCCTTGTAAGAGGATCATAATTTCTTACACATGGATATTTTATTTGTACCCTTTTTGTCAGCTAGAGTCATTTTTTTTTTTTTTTACCCTTTCCCTGCTGCCTGATCACTGTACTGTATCCATGCTGTATGGTACTGTTTCAGTGATCAGAGGGATCTGTTCAAGCTGACTTTTTTGTGTTTTTTTTTTTTTTTAGTTTTCTGTGGATGGTAGTGAGAATTGGGGGGTGAAGTTGTCCAGTGATTGTGCCCGATCACCATCTACAAGAAGGAGCTTAGGACACCCTGCAATGCCAGAGGAAAGCTGGGTACTTCCAAACTTTACTGCCCCAGAAATACCCCCATTCATGGCTACACCTGGCATCACAACAGCAGTAGACGTTTGTGATCCATTTAACTTTTTTTAGCCTCTATGTCGTAAGACATTTGATCTGAAAGTTGAACAAGCCAACATATTTGCCAGCCGGTATCTGTTTCCGAATCCGGTGTCCATTACAATAGAGAGAGGGAAAAAATAGGATGTGGCATCACATTGATGTCACAAAAAATTTTACAAAATTATCCCATCAAACTCCAGTCTGACAAATTTTGTAAAAGTTATATCCCAGAACAAAACATTAGCATTGACAAATCTGTCAATGGAGAAAGGCAGCCTGCAAGAGATGGTGATCTCTATATGTTAAGTATATACGCTTTGATGCATTGTACCAGGTTATATATATTCTCTGTTACTTTGTAATTATTTAGCAATTTAGAATAGTGTTATATTTTAGATTATTAATGGAGTGTGCATCCTTAATTATTTTCTTAACAAAAACAAAAAAAAAAACACAAAAGTATAACCACTAAATGAGGTTTGCATTTGTGATAAAGTGGCAAAATATGTCATGAAATGTTATTACCCTGGCTGCTTTACACTCTCAAAGGCAGCAGACTATCATGTCGTCAAGTTTCCTGGTATGAAGACTAAATAGGGCAAGCGCTATATTTGACCTGTAACTTTCCAAAACACCATAAAACCTGTACATGGGGTGTACCTTTGTAATCAGATATGAGCGTTTTAGAGCAGTAAAATGTATAATGATGATGCTGTTGCTATCATCAGTGAATGTGAGTTAACCCATTTTGAATACCCTGTGTTGTCTACTTTTGCAAATGGTATGTCATGATGGGGGTGATTTTTTATTCATGGGATGCCATATGGTCTCAAAGGAAACATAGGCCCAGCAGACCAAACTGGCAAATTTAAAATGTGTTAAAACCGACATGGGAAAGCCCTATATTTGACCTGTAACTTTCCAAAACATGATAAAACCTGTTCATGGGGACATCACAGTGTTCTATAAATGCAGAAAGAGATAACTATTATGACGTTCACGCAGAATTTGGAAATTAAGATTTACTGTCACAATTTTTTAGATTTTATTCATATTAAATTATGTTTCATTTATAAATATTTGATGTGAAATTATATTTAATAAGTGTGGGTGCATTTAACACGAAATAAGTAAATGATGGTTTAACAGACATATAGCTTAAATTCTAGCTTTTTGGCAAGAACTTGTACAATTGCCTCTGTCGTTTTAATGTATTTATATATATTATATTAATATATATCTGGGATTGAAAAGCTCACCAGTGGTTTTAGAATCAACATTATTGTTCCACCAAGATACGAGCAACGTTTTTGTGGTTTATTTTCAGTCTTCCTTGTCACAGTGCTAGGAAGGTGTATACTAGTTTATGTTAATCACTGGGTGGAGGCACTGTTTAATAACAGTCCCAATCTCCCTATACCTCTGTGGAGGCTCAGTACTACAGAGACTACTGCCAAGATTGAAGCAAAAGAAAGGCTACAGGAGTTAAGGTGTTAAGTGTTTTTGCGATCATAAATTCACAAGAGTGGCCTTTAAAAATGTGGGAAAATAAAACAAAACTCTTGAATACACCACTTGTGTAAAACTGATCCGATGTACACTCCTCCAAATCACACCATCCACCAAATGTTTTCTATTCCACCACATAGTGCCACTAGTCCTTAAAATGGACCAGCTGTACACAGATGTTATTTGCCAGCTTTCAGATTACCTGTTCAGAGTACTTATATGAAACCACGTCATCTTGGGAAGGCAAAACTCTGGAATCATCTTGAAGAGACTTAAAAAATAGGAATGAAATTTTTTTTTTTAGCTTAGTTTTGATTCTGCACACGAGTTTATGTAGTGGTGTGAAAGGAGCATTAACTGACATGTTAAACGAGTGAACAGACTGCTTGGATTCCAGACAGCAAGTTCTGTCAATGTCATTAGGTTTCCAAACCAGTTCTCATGCACTCCCATCTTTGTTTCATCAACATTTGCAAAAGAAAATATCTGGGAAATTCTCACGTTTTACATTATTGGCAGTGCACAAGTGTGGTAGATAGTGAAATAGATCTATTGAGTTGATCTAGAACTTTTACCCTAATTTTGAGGTCCAAGCAAACCTGAAGAGGATAGAAGGGGACCTGAATCGGCAATTCCCACCAAATCAGGTACTGCAGGACAATCTCATTAAATAAAAAAAATCTAAAAGCTCTTGCAAAAATCCAACTCCTCTTTGGTCAAGTGACAGTTATCCACATGTTTATATTGTATTATTTTATTTTATATAAATATGCATCCACAAAATAGCCCAAAGAAAAAGAGCATTTTAAAATATAGGCTAACGTGGTAAAGAAATTGCACACCAAAAAGATTAGCTATAGACATTATATTGCATTTCTTTTAAAAATACAATTTTCTAATTTGTTTTGTGTGTAAGCAACACAGTTCTCCATTAGAAATATTACACACACACACACACCTTTTTCCTCAGCAATATTATTGAGCAGAAGAGTTTACATACCAAATTCTGGGTGGACTCTGTTGTGCTATATAAGGAAGCATTATCAAACCCAGTTTCTGTAAATTAACCAAATTAAATATATTTAAAGACAGCTTGTGATCACAGCAATAGAAAAGAAAATATACTGCTAATAGGTTTGGCCACTGAAATTGGTAATTATAATAGAATGCTAATGGCCACACAATTTTGCATGTTAACATTTTCAATCAGAATGCTTCTAATGAATACTTTTGAAGAGCCTTACTTTCAGACACGTAAGAAAGCCTAACTGTAGGTGAAAAGAGTGTTATGTAATTTTTATGTTACACTTTGTTTTACCATTTGTCTCCAAATAAAGTTAACTATTTTATACAATTTGGAGCTTCCTTACCTATCTTTGATGATTTTCCTAGAGGACTCACACAGCGATGTCCTTTGTGGGGATCATACCACCTACGCCTATTGGGATTGAGCAATACCTACATTTGCCCTTTGTTTGTGAGTATACTTCTTTCTATTCGCTTTTAAATACATACAGAGATCACTATATTCCTGTTTTTATTTTCCCTCCTGTATACTGAAAACATCTGACTACAGGTCTGTGACACAACAACCAAGAAAACCACCACAACTGTGCAAGACATCAAGCACAAGGATTACCATCATATTCACAGAGGGGATTGTTCAGTCCACGTGCATAAATCTGGAGCTGCATTTAGGCTCCAGAAAATTGTAAGTGCATTTTGTTTTCTACATTTTATCAGAATTTTTTATGTACTACACTAGATTACGTTCTCTCCTCTTGTTCCCTATACTGCTTTGGATCCAAGAACACCAATATAAGCGCTGCTTCCCTGCACCCCTCTCCACACAATTTTGAACGTTAACGTTTTCAATCAGAATGCTGCTAATGAATACTGCCTAAAATGCATCCAAACATTCAGAGTTTCCACCCTCTGCATGCAGACAGTGAACTTTCCTCACAGATTAATTGATTCAATTGATCTCTAAAAGGATATGCTGATTGGCCAGGGCTGTGTTTGAATTGTGCTGGCTCTGCCCCTGATATGCCTCTGTCAGTCTCAGCCAATCCTATGGGGAAGCATTGTGATTGGATCAGGCTACCACTTATGCTGATGTCAGCAGGCAGGTCTAAAAGAAACAGGGACAAAGCATGCAGCTCCAGACTTGAATATAAGTAAGATTTTACTATATTTAGTGAGGCAATAGGGGGCTAGATGGTGGTTTTAACCCTATAGGGACAGGAATACATATTTGAATAAAACCTCCAATTCTAGTGAAGATGCAGATTCTAGTCAACCTGATATAATGTTGCAAAGAGTTGCAACAAATACTGGTCTAGGTCTCAAGTTGATAAAAATTGGATCCTATCAGAAGATATAATGTAAAACGAGTTTGTAAATATATATTTTGGAGAGTTAAGTTACAAATAAGTTTAGTTACAAATAATGCATGGGTATCTCTGATATGATATGAGAACTCAAAAGAATACATACATACCTTCGAAGTGGGAGTGTGGGTGCAGTTTCTGGTGATGAAGCAAGAGGATACATGGGGAAGTCCAAAGCAGCAGACCCCAGGTTGAATTGAATAGCAATCGGGAAGCTAGCGATGGAAGTACATAGGCTAGTAGTATATATATCTCTCAATATGGGATCCATTTACTACTACTATCCTTTGTACTTAGATAGATATTCTATCTGTGTATATATAAATAAAATTACGATATATATCGTTAATTTCATAAATATACACGTAGACTTGAAAAATGTGTATATATATTTAAATTCTATGTGCATATTTATGTAATATTTTTACATAATTAAGTAATTTTATTGATTGCAATTTGAGGGACCTGCATAAAAACCCAGACCGAAAGTCCAGATATTTAATTTGCTAGCACTGTATTTATCTTTGTAACTTTCTATGACACCCTAAAACCTGTACATGGAGGGTACTGTTTTACTCGGGAGACTTCGCTAAACACAAATATTAGTCTTAAACCAGTAAAACATATCACAGTGATTATATTTTCAGTGAAAGTGAAGTTTTTTGCATTTGTCAAACAGAAACGGCACGATCACTGATGATATTGTTGTATTAAGTTTTACTGTTTTGAAACACTAATATTTGTGTTCAGTGAAGTCTCCCAAGTGTAACAGTACCCCCCATGTACAGGTTTTAGTGTTTTTGAAAGTTACAAAAAAAATATAAGGCTTGATTTTCAGTTTTTTTACATTGAAATTTGCCAGATTGGTTATGTTGCCTTTGAGAGAGTATGGTAGCCCAGGAATGAGAATTACCCCCATGATGGCATACCATTTGCAAAATAAGACAACCCAAGGTATTGCAAATGGAGTATGTTCAGTCTTTTTTAGGAGCCACTTAGTCACAAACACTGACCAAAGTTCGCATTCAGAGTTTTTTTTGCATTTTTAACACACAAACAAATCTAAATGCTAACTTTGGCCAGTGTTTGTGACTAAGTGGCTACTACAAAGACTGGATGTACCCCATATTTAATACCCTGGGCTGTCTACTTTAGAAAATACGTACATGTGAAGTGTGATTCAGAGATTTATGACCGATAACAGTGTTACAGTGTCACTGTTACATTTTAAAAATATATATTTTGAAACAGCAATGTCCTACTTGTACTTATAGCCCTATAACGTGCAAATAAAAGCTAACTACATGTTAACATTGGGTATTTCTAAACTCAGGACAAAATTTAGAAACTATTTAGCACGGGTGTTTTTTGGCGGCAGATTTTGGGTGTCAATTAGAAAGTGTGTTTTTTTTTAACTTATATTTTATATTTTTAACTGAGTAAATGATATGATGAAAAAAATGTTTTCTTTAGAAAGACCACTTAATGGGGTCTGGAGGGGAGAGAGACCCACATATATAAATAAATGTCAACATGCAGCATAAACATCAATATCACACATTGGAAGAGCAGGCTCAGTGAAGGTGCTGGGAATACATTGCAAGAGGTACCCATAATCGTTAAAGGACCACTATAGTGCAAGGAAAACACTTTTTCCTGGTCCCACTCCCGCCCGGCGCTGGGAAAAAGGGTAAGTTTTAACCCTTTCCTCTCCCCAGAGCCAGGCCCAGCACCTTCACTGAGCCTGCTCTTCCAATGTGTGATATTGATGTTTATGCTGCATGTTGACATTTATTTATATATGTGGGTCTCTCTCCCCTCTCTCTCCTCCTCCTCTTCGGTTGAATGCGCACACGCTGCAAAAGCTGCGCGAGCATTCAGCCGGTCTCATAGGAAAGCAATCATAATTCTTTCCTATGGACGCTGGCATCTTCTCACTGTGATTTTCACAGTGAGAATCACGCAAGCGCCTCTAGCGGCTGTCAATGAGACAGCCACTAGAGGATTTGGAGGCTGGATTAACCTTAACATAAACATAGCAGTTTCTCTGAAACTGCTATGTTTATTAAAAAAAAGGTTAACCCTAGCTGGACCTGGCACACAGACCACTTCATTAAGCTGAAGTGGTCTGGGTGCCTAGAGTGGTGCTTTAAGTGAGCAACAGTAAAGAACTGGATATTCCAAGACAATAAATACTGCTGAGTTGTGGCTAAAAATTGGCCATTGGCTGTGCAGAGGGTATAAGGTAATCCCATTCCCCAATGTAATGTAAAGTTGGGGTACAATTGTAATGGATCAGGTGTGGGCTGGCAACTTTTAGCTTGTGGGGCAAGTGCAAATGAATAGCATTTTTAGTGCACAAAACTCACAGATGCAGATGCAAGTGGTGCATACAATATATTAATTTGATAAATAATAGCTTCTGCAGTTGAGCTGTGACATCATATCCTTACAACCTCCTGAAGCATGATCTGACATTCAAAAATCTCAGTATGCCCAAGACACACCTTTTCTTTACGCTTACATTAAATTTTAGATGTTTTAGTATTTCATCAGTGACTATTTCGTCAAATCCTTTTTGTATTTTTTCACACTGATGTGAACAGATTTAAATTCTGACTTTAGTGAATAAATCTTATATAAATATATGCTATATTTGGCCAGGTACCACTTCCTGCCATCTCACAGCAGGAACTTTACTTCACTGACAAAGTCCAGAGGTGCAAGAGCTTCAACCTTTCCGTTCAAGAACGGAGCACTCAAATTGCAGGGGCTTGGATACACCAAAACCCCTTCACAAAGCTAGTGTTTTTGCTTGATACACCAAAACCCCTTCACAAAGCAAACAAAGGAGGAATTTACAGTGTGCAAATTCACAAGGAAAAGGCATTTATGGTAATATTTATTAATACTATCATATATTACCATACGGGATAAAAGAGGAAGTTTCCAGAATATTAATATGACTAGTTCTGCTATACTCTGAAGTAATTAGTAGAATACACTAACAATAAACAGTGTTCACTAATATTGACCGAAGGAATATATTATCAATGAGGCCAAGACAGAAAATGATCAAAGAAGCATCATTACAAGATTATCTTGTAGAGTTCTGCTTATTAACAGAAAGGGTACTCTTGTTTGAAAGAAATGTACTGTACTAACCTGAAGTATAGATGAAGTCTCCGTGATAGTCCCCTGCACAAAACAAAGTCAAGTCAAATCAGGCTCTATTCTATGCCAATAACAAAAATAATAGGACCTTTAGTCACAGGACAATCCCTTCCAAATTGGTTCCAACCTTTTGGTTAACCCCTTAACCATAACACTGTCTGTGCAATCATGCATTGCACTCTAGGTGCTTGTCAGTCCCTTACTCCCGTTTGTCTCAGCAGCCTAATCCAGCACGCTCCAAGTGCTGGTTTAAGCTGCTGAGATCAACAGGACTAAGGGACTGACAAGCACCTATAGTGCAACCCAGACTGTTTCTGATGGCGGCAGGTAGCAGGACTTAATATAATAAAGATTTTAAACAAAGAAATCGGCTGGTGTTTAGTCTACTGCATCCCACATTCACAAGGGGCTGATCATACCTGAGCCTGTCATTTGGGAGTACTATAACCACGCCACATTTATCCTTGAGATCAAATGGATAATGTGTAAGTATATTTCGTTTTGTTTAACTTCTGGAAAATCAGTCATAAGATTTAACAATTTTTTTGCATTTATTTGTACTTAATTTATGTACCAACATTGCATGAATAATAACGTGGTTACTTATGCACCTTAGTTGGTATCTATTTGCATGATATATATTGTAAGATAACTGAACACTAGTTTAATTGATATGAGACACCAGTTTATTGGTTGATTGTTTTCATTGAAGAGATATATTGCAAGATTGTGCACAGTTTTTATTGATATTATGCACCAATTTATGGGTTAAAAGAAAAATAACAAAATCATCATAGTTACATAGCGTGGGGGATATACTTTCTACAAATATTTTCTTTTGTGTAGCAGTTTTGGATTCTGTGACTACTACTCAGCATGCCATATATTGCAAAGTTTAAGCTTTAAAACCATAATCCTAGACATAGTGGGCACTTGACAATCAGGACTAGAGATTTGTTTTGAGTTTTCTTTAGTAGCACAATTGTAAAACGTATTACTTTAAATTTTACATTTTAATTAGATTTAGAATTGTGTGATGTATGCATGTTGGGTATCAAAAAATGCCCAATTTCTCATTTAAAAGGCATATATAATATGTATAGTTGCACTTAAATAGAAAGGGTGAAGTTATGGTAGAATGGACGCATGGCAAAAGTGCCAAAAAGAGACTTGATACAAACACGTTGCATCTCGAGAGAACCTAGTTCCTGGAGTGGTTAAGTTGTTAGCCAATTTAAGAACAAGTGAATTGTACATTGTTCAGTATTTAAAACCTAACAAAATTAAGAATTATTTTTGTAGCAGTAAAATTCTCTAACAAGTGTTTATATACTTTATAAAGAGTTGTGGAATCTTTGACATGTTATATAAATGCATATTATGCCTTCTAAATAGAAGCAAAACACCACTACAAGTATGTTTATTATTTATGGATAAGCTTTACTCATTATTTAATATTTTTGGATAAACTTTTTAAACATCATTCTATATACAATATAGATTTGATCTTTTAATACTTTGAAAAAAACAAAACACTTATCCAAAAATATTAACTCTGGGCCCAAATTTAGATTTAATTCAATTGTATTTTGAACAATACAGTACAGAATATAAATAAAATATTTTACCACCATCACTCTGCTCCTCAATCTCTTCTTCAGACGAATTTATATTTTGCTTGCCAGAGCCAATGGGGCCTGGATTACTCCTTGCTACCCAAAACCCTGGAGCAGGCACCATATTGCTACCCTGCGCCTAGAATAGAAGAAACCAGTCAGTCATTAATTCACACTTTTCCGTGAGAAAAAGAAAATATAGGCTCCACTTAAGACATGTGGTATCATCATGAAGAGAAAAGAAAAATAATAACAGGCCTGGCCAGATACCTACAGATAATGGTGAAAAGGTTGCATCTTCTCCATCTTCAATTTCATAATAAGTTATTGATTCTTCTAGGCCTCTTTGTTCCTCCTCTCTGTCTACAAATCCAAACTGACAATCTTTATTTACACATGGCATCGGTCTACGACTCCGGCTGTAGGACCTTGCCAAAGGGAGGAGGGGGGATATAAATTAGTCAATAAATTATTTACTGCAACATTAGGATTTCAGTGTGTATATAGATTTTATTTGTATAACACTAAAACATAAACGATGGAGTTAACACTATAGTTGTTTTAAACCTGTGTATAGAACACTAATATCTCTAACACTTAACACTAACAAGACAAACTGAAAAAGTGATACTTATAAGATACTAATGAATGTGGGGGGGTACATTTTTCCAAATTACATTTTTCTAAAAATGGTCCTTGGTCCAAAGGAGGCTGGAAACCACTTAATTGCATTATTTTATAGTTTAGGAGCAAGAGTTAGAAAATATTATAAGAGTGGGTACAATATATAAATATATGTCACTACCCCGTGGAGAACACAATTAGGGTTATTTTCTTAAAATAACTAGTGAGTTAGCATTCATGGAAAGTTCTAAGAAGAAACGCTTGCATGGGAATCATCTCAGAGTTAAGACAGCAAACCCCATACTCCCCAGTTTGTAATGTCTAATTTCTTGCCTGAGCCACTTAACTACAGTATTGTTAAGGAATTATAAAGCTTAACACTACACAGAAGGTTTAGCTATTAACTCAGTGGATATGAAGCAGAACACAACATACCTGGATCTGTAGGAGAAATTGTCAAATGTTTGATAGCATCGTTTTCCTGGACTGTGGTAAAAAGAGATATCTGTTCCCATTATGGGGTGTCTGTTGATATAGCGAGGTGACCCCCTTTTTTAAAGTGAAAGCAAAGTCAATAGAACAGCATTAAAAGTAACATGCCCACTGACCAAACACACAGTAAGAGGTTACACATTTAACATCTAATTCTGCTGGTATAATGTCTAGCAACAGAAATAGGAATAGGTAAAATGTTTCACCTTATTACAGAGGTTTGTTATTTTAAATATAGGTATACAATTCTTTAGATTTTTCTGCAAAACATCACATATGGTTATGAGTGTGTTGCTTAAAAAGGCATTACATTTGTGGGAAGGCCTACCGATACAGTAGGCCTGTAAATAAAGAGGGCCCACCAAGGAGTAAAAGGAAAAGGAAAAAGAAAAGAAAGGAAAAAGTGTTGAGAATGTGGAGTGGTGGGAGGGTCATTCAAACGCTGACCTCGAACGGTATGGAGCCAGGCAAGGGGTGTACCTTACATAGGCAAGTGTATAATCATAAGCCACTCCCACAATTACAGGCCACACAGCCTTAATACTTGTGTTAGGGGCACATAGCCGTATAAGGAGTAAGTTCCAGTATAAGCTTAGGATAGTATAAAGAGGAAGTCGGTTGTAGTGTGCCTGGACCAACGATACGGTAGGCCTGTAAATAAAGAGGGCAAGAAGTGAATAATCAAAGATTTAATTCAGTCAACAAAAACACACGGATTAACCAGACATTTCCTTAAATGCATTTTGTATCTCTTGTACTGGTTTAGGTATGTACCGTGTGTAAGCAGATTTCCATCGCCCCAGTGATTTTATAATGTGCACTGGTATGTTGGCACTGGAGGCTGTGGAGGCCACCCCTATACAGAAGGAGTGACCCGAGAAGGTAGAAGGGTTGCGACCTAGCTGAGTTAACAGAGATCTGACATATGTCATAGTAAGCACTGAGCCTTGTAATGCAAATAATGGTAGTGATGCATGTGAGGTAGGGTTTTGACGGTATGAATCTAGGACCGCAACATTTATTGTGGGTAGGATATGTGATTTCTACTGGTGGTGCGTGTTGGCTCGTTTTGGACTGTGGTAGAGCCAATATGTAGTGATCCCTGTGTTTGCGTAAGTGGAATCACTGAAGACATCTGATAGAGTGGTGGTGATGGCAGTAAACTCTCTAGGCCTGAGAAAACTGTAGAAGGCTATATACATGGCCGCTTTAATTACGGAGTTGGTGGCAGAATTAAATGGGTGTAAATCTAATAGGTCAGATAAGGATTGGGAAAGTTTGTTGTCTATAGGTAATTTCTGAGAGGAATGTGGGGGAACTGATTGTTCTTTATCTGATATGATGACAAAGCTATGGTTGTTTGGCCATAGGGTTAGCATGTGGTGTTGAATGCCTGTCAAATCTAATTTAATGGTGTTGTAAGATAGTTGCAGTTTAAGATGGCAAAAATCAAAACCCAGAATAGATGTCATAACAAAAGGTTGGGATATGTCGTGTTCCAATAGGAATCTTTTAAACAAAGGGAAGACTCTGTACGTCCTACGAGTATTGGATGACAATGCGAACTTAGACAGTTCCCTGCTATGCTGCATGAGTATGTCTAATCCATTATGAGATGATGGAACGAAGGAGTGGCTGTGGCTGCTTGAGCTGCTGTAGGAAGTGCTTGATGAAATGCCTGAAATTAAAAAATAGAGATAAATTGTAAGCAGCTATGTTATAAATGCCTGGTGCATGAAAGCAAACCAAAAAGAAATTGTGACATGCGGCCAACAAAGTGAGTTTCCTGAGAAATCTCATGATCGTTAGAGATTATGAGCAGCCGTTGTTGATATGACATGTGGTTGTCGGAGTAGCAACAGACTGATGACCGTGACCATAAATTACCCCATGCCACGGCAGCTGCCACAATACGGTAGATCTCAAAAAGAGCTGAGGTAGTGGAAAAAACCTTCCAAATCCTGGACTTCTACAGGCCAACTACCCCAAAGCAATTTGTTCTCAAAGTTTGCTGCAAAACCCGTGGTAGATGCCACGTCTGACCATATGGTTGGTGAAATATCAGACAATCCTGGGAGGAACAAGCTTTTACCATTCCATGTGGTTAAGAAATTCTTCCACATGTGCAGGTCTGCCTTGGCTTGGATATCTAGGGACAGCCTATGCTCGTCATGTTGGAAGTGTGGAAAAAGGCAAAGAAGTCTGGATATGAAAGCCAGACCTTGTAGTATGATGCGCATGGCAAAATTTAAGGAACCTAGAAGAGATTGTAGTTCTTTGCGGTTGCAAGTACCAAGCATGAGGTAGTGATTTATGTTGTTCAGAATGTTCCTTATTTTGTCTTGTGGTAAACTTGCTTGCATGGATGTCGAGTCAAGTTGTATGCCCAGGAATGTGATGATAGTGTCTGGGCCTTCAGTTTTCATAGTGGATACTGGGACGCCCAAGTGGTCTAAAAGACTAATTGCTTCCTTGAGGCTTCTGGATATGTTTAGTAACAGCCAGCAAAGAGTTTCAGCGAATATGTCAAAGATTTTGGGGCTACTCTTTGACCCGAAAGTTAAGCGGGAGAAGAAATAGTACTTGTCTGCCCATTTAATGCCATGTAAGTGCCAGAGTGTAGGGTGGATTGGTAGCAGCTTGAAGGATTGATATCAGTCTTGCTTAACCAAGCTCCCACCCCTGCTTGAGTGATAGCTGTTATGGCATGATCAATGGTGGTGTATTGTAGGGAAAACTACTCAGAGGGGATGAGGCAGTTGAGACTTCGGGTTGCAGAGGTGTGTGGTGTTGATAAATCTATAATTAGTCTTTGTTTGAGGGAAGATTTCCCTGTGACAATCCCAATAGGGGTTTGTGCGCTGTGGTGTAAATGGTGGTGATATGAAAGGCCCAAATAGAAACCCCTCTGTCAGTTCTTGGGCTATGAGTGTGTCTACAGCCGTAGGGTTCTGCTGTGCTGACTGCAAGTTAGGGCACTCTAGATTCCCTGAAGGCATATGTAAGATACCGGTATGGAAACCCTCTGAAAATCCAGAGATTAGGAAATGTCTGGAAGGGTGATGAGTCAGTAGTGCTGAAAAAGCATTAATGTTTACAGACTTTAAGTAAGGTTTTGGGTACATTTTAATGGGACACATGGCTTTAGCATGTGCCCTGAAACATTTAGAACATATATGCAACAGTCTGCATGCGATGTAACTACACATGACCACATTAAAGTTGTTGCAAATCTATGATTTGCTGAAAAATATTATGGGACAACCCAATTTGTCTCTGGTAGTTCTCTCCGTTCTACCAGAGGTGCTAGTGCTAGGAGCATAAGAGTGATTGTCTGCCGTGTTTGGACAAAAATTTATCGTGTAGGTAGTGGAAGAGCAGGATGCACAATCTGGTGTCTTAAGACCTGGCAGAACGAGACCTATGGTAGTCATAAAATGCTGTACCACCATATTTGTTTCCTAGGTCTACCAGATTGTGCATATACAGGTCAAATTCTTCCCTTCTGTTAGGGTACACTGCACAAATCACATCTCTATATACACAAACACCAAAAGCCAAAGCAAACTCAGGGATGCTCAGTTTCCTGTTCAACCTAGAGTCCCTGGATCTGACTACCACAGATACATCAACATAAACATATGTTTTGTCTTTGACAATATCCTGGAAGGCAATTAGCAGTGATGCTAAGTTGACATCTTTACCTTCCAGGATATCTTTCTTAATGTGCGCTGGGATCATATGTGCAGAGTTAACGCCCTGAGTGTCGGAAGAGTTGATTGAACCAGCTAGCTGAGTGTCGGTTGATGCTGGTTGTACTATAGCTGAAGGCCCAGCCTTTGTGAAGGCTGTGGTGACCGACTCGAGATTTTCCAGTCTGTCATTTACTTTGCTCATGGAATTCATGAGTGATGCTAGCATAGCATGTATGTCACCCGAATTGGTGTTGCTGGTGCCTTCACCCGACTATGTTATCCGTAGATGTACGGAGCAGCTTAAATAGTTCTGCTTTACTTGCTTTGGCTGGGTAGGGGATTTGTCGCCTCCTTAGCTTGGTGGTAATGCGTGGGATTGTCAAGGATCTGATTGATGCTGGACTAGCAACATCTCTATGTGAAGGCTTGTCGAATCTAGCCAGAGTGCTAGAAAGAGATAATTCCTCGCCACCTTCTTGAGACATACTTAAATAACAATGAAGATAGCCATTATTATTTGAACAACAGGCGTCTTGTACTGGCTTACTAACTAAGCCGTAAGGCAAAACAATTAAAGCTTGGTTTTGGTGAC